TCCACCCTTTCTTCTTGCTGACCTTATTGAAAGTCTTGCCGAGGTGTTTGCAAGAAGGAAAAGAGCTATTTACTTCTTAGAGTTCACTCTCCAGTACAGAATTTAAATACAGCCAAGTGAAAAGCAGAAAGAAAGAGAGAAAGAGAGAAAGAAAAAAGAAAGAAAGAAAGAAAGAAAGAAAGAAAGAAAGAAAGAAAGAAAGAAAGAAAGAAAGAAAGAAAGAAAGAAAGAGAGAAAGAAAGAGAGAAAGAAAGAAAGAAAGAAAGAAAGAAAGAAAGAAAGAAAAAGAAAGAAAGAAAGAAAAAGAAAGAAAGAAAGAAAAAGAAAGAAAGAAAGAAAGAAAGAAAGAAAGAAAGAAAGAAAGAAAGAAAGAAAGAAAGAAAGAAAGAAAGAAAGAAAGAAAGAAAGAAAGAAAGAAAGAAAGAAAGAAAGAAAGAAAGAAAGAAAGAAAGAAAGAAAGAAAGAAAGAAAGAAAGAAAGAAAGAAAGAAAGAAAGAAAGAAAGAAAGAAAGAAAGAAAGAAAGAAAGAAAGAAAGAAAGAAAGAAAGAAAGAAAGAAAGAAAGAAAGAAAGAAAGAAAGAAAGAAAGAAAGAAAGAAAGAAAGAAAGAAAAAGAAAGAAAGAGGATTCTTTAAAATTATCTGGAAAGAAATTACTTCTCAATTACCTTTCATCTGCACACTATATTTTAAACTATTATTCTGCCAGTCCTCCACTTGACCGTAGATTGGGGGGGGGGGGAGGAGAGGAAAAAAAAGTACCTGAATTTCTAGTCTGTTTTGTTCTGAAAGGGAAAGGAAGGGACATTGGACATTAAACCACTTACCCACAAGAATTAAAAAGAATATTGGAAGAAATGCATGTTTTTTCCTATTATTTTTAATTTTGGGAGGCCACAGTTAAATAAGGATTTCAAATGCCCCTGAAGTTAAATGTAAAAATGAATGTGCTGTGATTTGACCTGTGGAGAGCAAGATGTCAGCTGTGGAAAGCTGGCTCCAGGAAACAATCTGGTGAAAGCAGAGTGTGTGTTTCGGGGATGGCCAACGCATGAGAAAGAAGCAAACAGGGGAAAGCAGCACTCCCCAAACAGGGAAATTCCCCTCACAGTTCCATTTCCCCTTTGAAGAGAAGATGAGCTTGGGTGTCTCGCTGTGCTAGGAAGGAGGATGAAGCAGGACTTCTCCCAAATCCGTATTTTTACTCTGAAAGCCATCATGAACCGTGCTGTTCTGCTGCCTGCGGTTCTCACCGGGGATTCCTGCCGATGCTGCCTGCAGCCGCCGTGGTCCTCTGCCATGTCCTCCCTCCTGGCACTCTGCGCTGCCCTCGCAGCCAGGACTGCTCCTGCAGGTTTTGAGGCAGATTGCACAGATTGTGGTCTCCTATCAACACAAGTTAAACACCAGCTACCGCCACCGTCGCTGTTTGCACAGCTCTGCCCCACTCCGCTCAATGCAGCGTTGTTGTTGCCATCGTAGCAACGCGATACATGCTGGTGTGGTTACCTAAGTACTCATTTCTTCCCACAACCATTTTATTCCTCCTCTTTAGATACCTCTCATAAGCATAGAAATGCTGTGAAAAGTCTTTGGTACCATGCAGCCGGATCGGTGCCGCGAATTTTCCTTGTGAGACTCGGGCAGCTGATTTAGTTTCTCTTTGCTCCACTTCTCTGTAGTGGGGATTCCTCTGCTATGCACTGGGACTGTGAGAAAAAATACTTTCTAAATTGTGAGGCACACAGATATTGCAGTGTGGGGGCCACGTAAGTGTCAGGATAGACGAGGAAGCAGCAGTGAAGTCATTGTGGTTTGGGACCTGATCTTGTAGACACACATCCGAGTCTCCTCCTTTCCATGAGAGAAGCCAAGTTTCGGAGCTGGTCCCAGGAGTCTTGTGAACATGAGTGTGTCCTGGACTAGGCCATCCTTTGAGGATTATAAAATGCACGTTACATGGCTTCATAGTTTCTTTTAATGTAGCCTCTCCATTTGTTCCCAGTTCCTACGTGCTTTGCTCTTGAATGAGTCACCAGAAGCTGCTGCTTATGCACTTTCCCTTGCCTTAAATGTGTGCTTTATTTTAAGAAGCCGAATCTCCGGTTTCACAGAACCTGGAACTCCTTTTTTCAGTTTGACAAGTGGACGGATGGTCAGAGGCGGAGGATCCTGGTGGACCTGTTGGAACGCTGCTCCCCATCACAGCAGAAATTCTGTGCCAAGCAGCTACAGGATCGAGTCCCCACCGAGGCTGTAGATTTTACCACGAGGCTTCCTAGAGTCCTGTCTTTATACATCTTTTCCTTCCTGGACCCGCGGAGCCTCTGTCGATGTGCACAGGTAAAAAAGCCAACACGTACCCAAGGTTCAGAAAGTCAGGTCAGGCTAGTTAAAAAAAAAGGAAACGGCACTGGTTTTCATCAAAGACGTACCAGTGCTGGTGCCAAATGCTCAGTGATGCCTGTATGAGACTGAATGCAGCGCTTCCACAGATCCTAAATAAAGCCAGATTGGCCAAGATTTACAAAAGTGAAGAGTAATTTTAGATGCTCAGCTCTAAGGCATTGAACATGTGGCACTTCACAAGACTGATTCTTCCCAAGAAGGAGGCCTGGTACTTTCTGAAAATCATGTTCTTTTAAAGTACCTTGCACTGTGTGCAGACTCATTAATCGCTTTGAAAAATATTGGCTTCTGCTAGTTGCACAGAGCTGCACACGATGCTTGAAGAAAACCAGATCCTTTAAAATGCTTGAGGGTAAAGTGTTGGATGTGGAGAAGCAGAGAAGTTACAGATGTGCTTTTGAGCACAGTGTCTCAGGCTTCAGCCTTTTGAGCACAGCAGCTGAGACTACAAAAATACATTTGCATGAGATAAAGTGCTGTGAGATGATGCCCAAAGTAGCTCTGAACGAGTAACTTCAGACATTGGTGACATTATTACTGCACTAACATAGTACTCCATACAATACTACGAATATGTCAAAATCTCAGCTCGGTTAAAGCTTGCTCTAGTAACTTTCTCCAGCATTTCATGTTTCGTGTGGATGCCACACACACTATTCCTTCACAAGCAACGAGAAGACAGGTTAGGAAATTGCTTACTCAGAAGGAAAGGTCTTTACAGCGCTACCTGTGTCGCATCATTGGATAGCTGCTGTCATAAGCACGGCAGCACCAACAGATGATGTTTGTCTGTAAGCTGGAGGAAGCGCTGCACGCAAGGTGACTGTGTGATGGGGTAAAACGGCAGAACGTGAGCAGGAAGAAAATGTTCAGAATGGGTCTGTCAGACTTGGGGGCTTTATTGATGGTGTTTTTCTCAGTGGAAACTAATAAAGGGTTTATTCCAACTACTGGATGCTTATTGATTAGAAGCGCAGGAAGTTTTCCCAAACAAGCTGAAATTTTTTTCTCTTGGCCTGTCATTTTTGGAGTACTTCACCCTGTGCTGGACATCAGCTAATGCTTAGACACTGAGCATGTCATGAAAACCTTGAATGGTTTAAATGGTTTAATGAGAGGTTTAAATGGAACATAAACAGTGCTGAGGAATTGAAGGGTGCAGGGGAATTACATCCAGAGTACAGAAATCTCTAGCTGCAATCTTGGATGCTTGAAACCCCAAGTTTTTCATCTTACTGGGCATCCACAGGTGAGCTGGTACTGGAAGTACCTGTCTGAACTGGATCAGCTCTGGATGCTGAAATGCCTACGTTTTGGCTGGTACATCAACTTCTCTCCAACCCCCTTCGAGCAAGGAATCTGGAAGAAACACTACATTGAGATGGTGAAAGAGCTGCATGTCACGAGACCAAAGGTAGATACCTACCTACCTCTAGAGATGTTTGGGCCAGTGGGAAAACTGGGCTGGTCGGGTACCTAACCCCTTTGCCTCTGTATCTTTCTGTAATCTCCCATGAATAAGATGGAAGATACATTAATTTAAATGTGAATCTAAACTCCTGTGTTGCCATGCACCCTACTTTCCCATCATCCATCCCTGGTAGGGGGGAAGTGAAAATCTCACTGGGTTGGAGAAGCCGTCACCAAAGTCTCAAGCTGCTCTCCTTTCAAGGTGTTCTGGAGTAATCCTCTGTATTTCCCTGCCCAGCACCCAAGGCTGCTCCCCTCTCTTCTTCCCCACTTTACAGAGCATATGATAGCTTGCCTCAATCTGATAAGCAGAGGTGGGGTACCCGGCATCACCCCTGCTGACACTGCAGAGCCAGTTTACCTGGTGGAAAGGAAAAAAGCACCCATTATCCCTCTTGTAGCCCTTGGTGTTGTCTCTTTCTCTCTTCTTCAAAGGTGGCAAGGCCATTTTGGGGAGGTGGAGCATTACTCAGTAGCTGTTGCTTTCCCCTGAGATTCGTTGATGCCATGCCTGGTGTGCGGGGCTGTGAGGATGGGACTCTTCTGCCCTGAATTCAAAACTCAGCCCTCTAATTTTAACCAGACTCCCCCGCAGGCTTTCTCTGTAGTCAATGGAGAGAAGCCAAAGCATCTCAAAAGTAGCTCAGCTCGTCTTAATGCACATATTGGGACATGGGTGATGACGTACACTGTCAGGGTACCCATTTCTGTCCACCGACCATAGTGGAGCCTGGAGAGACTAATTTTGAGTTAATACTCAATTCTTAGAAGTCTAAAGTTAGGCAAAATAAATCTAATTTTCATTATAGGCTAAGATTTATTTTCTTCTTTTAATCTCTCTTATTAGACTCCTTCAAAGGTTGAGTTTGTAGTTATTGATGTGCAACCAGTAAGAAGCAATGTCCCAGAAGCAAAACTTTCTGTGCCAGGAAGGAGGACGAATAAGGAGAAAAAAGAGCTCCCACCGTGGCGTTCATCAGACCGGCATCCTACGGACACCATCCGATTCAACTACCTCGACAACTACGATCCCATTGAGCAGGCTCGGCAGGCGTAAGAGCTTGATCTCTTCCCTTTCGCTTTTTCTGCGACGTAGGGTATGTTTGTGTCCTTCGCAAGCTCACTCCGCCTGTGCTCCAAGCTGCCTTGAAGTCTCATAGTTCAGCAGCCTGGCTGCAAACCCATTTTGCTGCTCTTTTGGCTTTTTTTGGATTGATCTTGGTCCCGTTGTAGTCGCAGCTGCACTGCTTTGTGCCCTTTCAGTGGAGACCATGGGCACAGCTTGTTGGTGTCTGCCTATAAAATTGGCTGTAACTCCTGGGGAAGTTAGATAGCTGTTATGGGAAGAATCAGGATGAGGGTTTGTTCATGAGTGTTTTAAATAAAGTGCAAGGTTGAGAGGAATCTGCGGTTTCTGCGCAGAAGAGGAAGAATGAATTAATCGTGATGAAACATAATTCTAGAACTTCAAGGATCTTCTCGCTTAGAAGAGATTTAGATGTTTGAATGGGGGTGCAGGTGTAAGAGTATATATGAAGTAATGAATAGTATTTGTACCTATGCTGCATGGGATAGATGGCCTAGATCCATCAGTTCTGAGGCTAGTCAGCAACCAGCTAAAGAAAGGCATTTCCACCCCAAAGTATAGTTTTGCAGGTTGACTTCATAGAATCATAGAATGCTTTGGGTGGGAAGGAACCTTTAGAGGTCATCTAGCCCAACCCCCCTGCAGTGAGCGGGGACATCTTCAACGAGATCAAGTTGCTCAGAGCCCCATCCAACCTGGTCTTTAATGGTTCCAGGGATGGGGCATCTCCCACCTCTCTGGGCAACCCATTCCAGTGTTACACCACCCTCATTGTAAAAAATTTCTTCCTTAGATCCAGTCTAAATCTACCCTCACTTAGTTTAAAACTCCCTTAGACTTGTGTTAGGACTGTCCCCTGTTTTTCTTTGACACATCTGGTATCAGGTATTTTCGGCATCTTAGATTTGTGGTCAAATTTCTGTGCATTAACAAGCCTCAGCAGGAGCAATAGCAAGGAGGCTGCGGTAGTCACCTGCGTGCAGTGTTTGGCCATTTCTCATTGAAGTCTCTGTTAGTACCACCTCTCATTTTCATGGGCTCACAGCAGTTACCTCAGTTCAGCTGATGTGCAATAACTTGTGAAATGGGTAACACTGTCATTAACCTGCACTTCACAGAATCACAGAATCACAGAATCACAGAATAGCAGGGGTTGGAAGGGACCTCTGTAGGTCATCTAGTCCAACCCCCCCGCCGA